TTTAAGTTGGCTTTACATGTTGATAATATACATCATAACATTATTATGCTAGAAATGTAACTATCTTATAGTGTACTTTTTGATTTTCCTGCAAACAAGAAAATTCATCATACTCTATGTATGTACCTTTATAACGACATAGTTAGAATCCCAGCAGCTGTGACCTACCTGTTCATATATCATGATTACGATCACTTCAGAAGACCGTCTCGATGGACTTTTAAGCAAATTACTAGCAAACAGACCATTGTGGATTCAAGTGAATTTGAAAATGGGCTAAGAGCTAATATCCGCACTACGGTGAGTGTATTCCAAGTGACGGACCTTTCGAAGCTGGTGAATAAATGCCAAGTCTATAAAACAAACTAGAAGGAAAAGTCTGTGGATATTGTGGTTAGTGAAACTTCTCATATTGTTGCACAATAGTTAAGTTTAAATTTATCACTCCCAGTTGTTAATGTTAGTAATAATGAAGAAGAGTATGCAACTGGAAGAGGTAATGTATAATATTTATTTAAATAATATAATATTTAAAATTTACTAATTTATTAATAAAAATGTGTTGTGTATTTACAGACAAAGGAAATGACTATGATGATGACTATGAAGATAAAGAAGTAAAGGACGACCAAAGGCTTATAGAATTAGAAATGAAATGGATTAGATTGGGTTGGGTTGGGTTGAGTTACAACTGCGACAACGATGTAGGTTATGTCGACAGCCAGGTCACAATCAACGTCATTGTCCTCAACAAAGCAATGCTAATAATACTGACGAGTAATATGGTCACTGGTTGGTAGACAGTCTTTATGTTTCATTTATCATTGTAAACATATGCTAGATTAATTAAATGTACTTGTCTTATTAGTTTACATTGACGTTGTCACTTATTTAAGTTTTGAACAATGTGAGGAATGTGCAAAAATATAAATCAGTTGTGCATGTAAACCAAATAAACCATTCACTAATATCGTCTAAAATTATAACAACTAGCACAAAAAACTTATCACTGAAGTAGTTGAAATGACGATGTTTTCTAATACAATATGATAACATATTATCAATCAAAATGCAAGGACTGCTCATGAGTTCCCTCCTCATGAGGTGTGAGAATGCACTGTTGACGATGATCTCGAGCTCCACAATGAGGATTACGTCTCACATCAGGTCCTGTTGCATCTAAGGCTCCAATGAATTCAACATTAAGATCAATTCCATACTCCTCCCCAGGTAGCAATGATGTTGTTTGCCCACCATGTCTACTTTGATGAGTTCCTACACTGGGTGCATTCGTGAAGAACATCGGCTTATATGGAAGAGGTGTCATGAAAAGGGTAGCATTAGGAATATAATATTCACCGGTGGAAAATGGAGATGCATGAGGGACTTTTGTGTGGTATGATGAGTGAACATAAGATGATTGTGTCCCTTGCGAAGGGTGAAATGGAAAAAGTAGAGAGACATAATAAATACCATCTCCTCATTCAGGCAAAGGGGATAAGGTAAAATATGTATCCTGCACTTTTAAATATCGAACAATATTTAATTAATTAAAAATAATAATTTATTTACAATTTCCTAATGAAGCATAACAGTCAAATACCTGAACTAACGTTCACCGATGTTGCAAACCTCTACCTTACCGACATTGTGCACCCATACCAACGCCAATATGAGGCTCATATGGATTTCCACTCTGGATAGAAGGGTCACATAAAGATGAAGGCTCTAAGATGCGTTCCTACTAATTTTACAAGGATAACATTGTCTCACACAACTCCTTCATCTCCTCAAATGAAAATGTGTCCCTACCATCACTACACAAGTAATATGTCCTCTCATGAACATCTCCTTGCATTACCATTACATATCATATTATGATTGTCGCAACCGGGCGATCGCAACGGTACGGCAAAAAGCGTTTTTAAAAAGTATCAGAGGAGTCGCCATCAAAGTTTATTTTAAGGAAAAAAAACCTTGGAAAAACTTAAATATAATACGATCTTTGAAATCAAAAATGAGTTTGGGAGTCATTTACGTGTAGGAAAGGTATTAGCATCCTACAACGTCCGTTTAAAAAACGGTTACCTAAAATTAATTATGAAAATTCATTCTAATTTTGAAAAATATTTATTTAACCCCTAAAAATTAATTATTTTATTTTAGAAGAAGAAATATTATTTATTGAAATATTATTTGGGTTATTTTAAAAATTATTTTGACTTGACGGGTTCGGTTCCCGCTCCTACGTATCCCCAGATGCAATGGGGAACTCAAAGCCACGTAGTTCTACCTAAAACTTTATGGGGTTGGTTAATTAAAATTAAGTTTAGTAAAGGAGAATTGTTTTGAGATTAAAATTATTTTCATAAGATTATAATGTTTAGGATACAAGATAACGCAGTTATACATGTACCCTACGAGAAACAATACAGAAAGTGAAGGAAGATCACACAACTATATTGTAAATCATTTTTGAAAATATATATATATATATTTTATTCTTAAATAAAGTATTTGAATTTTAATTTTGATTATGATTAATGTTGAAAGAAATTTAAGATAGCGTAAGCTATACATAAACCTCTTATAATTTTGGACAATCGACGGCAATGTAAATCACACATCAATGTTGTGAAAATTTGTATAATAAAATGAATAAGAGATTGGTTGTTTAATTTATTAAAGTATGATTTAAGAAAGGTTAAAATATGAAATTAATTCTATTTAATGAAATTAATAATAAAAAATTTAAAACTTTGTTTAATAAAATTATGTTGTATAGAACCTAAAGTAACGTTGGTACGAATAGGTTCTAATAATTTATAACGCGTAAAGGTAGAGTCGCTACACATTAGCATTATAAATTATTGTGTTAATAAAATAATTTTTATTGATTGATTAGTAAAATAGTGGTTATAGGGAATACATTTTTGATTAATTATTAGATAATCTTTCTAATTAATTAAAGATAACATATGATAAATTAATATTGCCTAAAGTCTGGTAACGTAGGTACACGTAGACTTTATCAATTTATAACACACGACGGTAGAGAAATTACACGTTAATGTTATAAATTGATGCAAATATATTTTTTATTACTTGATCATAAAATAAATTTACAAATTACATACATTTTATATTTATTAAATAAATAAAAACATACGACGAGTATAAAATCAAATTATTCTAATATTCTGAATTTACACAAAATAAATAAAAAAAATACTAAGAATAAACAACCCAAGAATAAATTATTCATTAAACATAAGCAAAAAAAAAAAATCAATAATTATTATGAAAATTTTCTTATTTTATTTATCTCCCATTACTTTTAGTGAGAAAGGGTAAATCTGTAATTAAAAATTGGAAGCAAATATAACATAATAATAGAACACAACAAATTATTTAAAGATAAAAAAAATGAGGTAATTTTATAATTTAAAAGTGGATAAATAAATGAATGGGTAAAAACTATAGAAAAGAAATAAATAAGTAAATATTCATTATTTTATATTTTTTCTAAACTAAAAATTCAAAACTTAAACTATCTTTTCGTTTAAACAATGGGCTACCTAAACCTGAAAAGTAAAAAAAAAAAAAGAAGAAGAAAAAATCAGAATAATAATAATTTAAAGAAGTGTCGAAACTAAGATTTGGAAAAGTATTGGCATAGTAACTGTGCTGCAAAACGTTCAGGGACATTATAACTCCTTTCAAATCAAATGGAATATATTATTAAAATATTAAAATGTTAAAAAAATAAGAAGAGAGCTTTACTTCGATGGTATGTAAGAATGGTTTCGATTATGTTCATCAAATACCATATGCCACCAAGATATTAAAATATATATAAAAAGGACAGAACTTATGTCAGGAAGCCTGTAACCTAATATTTCATTATTTAGCCACACATCATGCTATCTATGTTACGAGAGTAGAGCATGTGAAGAAAAACATACCAAGAATGCAACGTTCAAGATTCAAACAAAAAGATAGAGTGATTGAGCTTTTTTCTTCTTCTTCCTTTCGGTAATGCCTTCCTTTTGAGCTCTTCTTCTCTTTCAGTGTTCTCCTTCCTTTCTATATTTTGTTCTGAAAATCTTTTTCTTTCCTTTTTGATCTCCCCAAGAAAAACTTTTAGATAATTTTGTCGTTCTTAAAAATTTTTCCTTTCTAAAAAACTCTCTCAGAATTTTTCTAAAAAGATGCTCTTTATTTTTTGTTCCCTGGAAACTTGTTCTAAAAAAAAATTTGCTTTCTTTCACCGAACCCCCCTTTCCCTCAGATCTACTTGAGTTTTTATACCCCCTTCCATCTCACATTTTAGGGTTTTTCTTTTACAAAGTGCCAAAGTTTTGAGTTTTTCCTTTTTCATGCTCAAGACTGATTTTTTTGTATTGGAGTGTAGGCCTGTGAAGTGCAGGTGGCTGTTTCCAGGAAGCAAAATCCCCTTTTTTTCAAAAATTTTCCATTTTTGTAAAGTGATTTTATTATTTCATTTTTATTTTTTTTTAAAACTTGGAGGTAATCCAAGAGAGGCAAAAATTGGTACTCACAATAATCTATTAAACAAAGTAAATAATATAAAATAAAAGAATAATACTTACAAGTAATGCAAATAATGCAATATCCCTGCTCATCCAACGTTTGGTATGAGTAATATATCACTGCATGTATTTAGAGTTTGAATTCAATAGACCAATCTGCAGCTCATTACTCACCATCAAATCTAACTTCCTATCCTAATACTCTAGTATGCCTTTGAACTTGGACTCTTAATTGTCAATGGTCTTCCCCTTTAAGAGTAATGTGATGTAGATAGTCTGGCTGATAAGGAGTATAAGAAATATGTTGTACTATCCCAAATTGACGCATGACACGGTTAGACTGGTGCTATACACACATATGAAAACAAATAAGTGGCACAATTGCTCTCTAAAGATGCATGTCCTCAGTGCATATGGCAGACAAAGTATGCATTAAATTTATACTATATGGTTACCACACAATCTGCAAGTCAAAAAACAATTAATTTAGTTATTCATAAATATTCATTGATGATAACATAGATCATTAACAATTAACAAAATATCTCATCATGTTTTAAATGATCAAATTTGAATATAAAGTATGCAAGATCCTTTCTCCCTTTCCTATAATTTTGAAAACCTAACCACCTATACAAATATAAATATCAGTACGAATACTTGTAACAAAATACTTTTGTGTAAATATTTAATGAAAAAATAAACATTGTAGGCATATCGTACATCATAAGGAAGATCATTCCATGTGTAGGGTGGACTACCCGGAGTTAGAAATGGAAACCTATCCAACGCCCACATCATCACTAGTTGAGTCAATCCTCCAATATTAGACTGATCAATATTTATGGGCATGTATAACTCTCGGTATAAGAATGCTAACGCTGCAGCTCCCCAACTATATTGCGCAGTGATTTCTAAATCCTCAAGTAATGGAAGGTACCAAACTAGGAGGACCTTGCTACTAGAATGATCGCTAACATAAATGCACCTATCAGTCTCAAAATATAAGTTCTAGCAAACCAAGTTAGTTGAAGGGCATTTTGGTTGTGCAAGCTAACATGGGAAAAATGTACATCCAACCAAGTAAGTTTCAAGCTACTCCCTATAAATGCAGAACTAGGTGGTCTAATTCCCAACAAATCATCAACGATCAGTGCCTAGTCACCTCCTGTAAGGGCAATAATTGACCTTCCATCAATACAAAGACCCATCTGAATAGCAATGTTTTCAAGAGCAACAGTACACTCTTTAGGAGGCATGTGAAATGTATGGGTCTCTCACCTCCATCTTTCTATCAAAACTATAATCAATTGGCGGTTAATAGGAATACTAGTCAACTATGTTACTCCGATAAATCCTGTTAGTGTTAAATGAGGAATAATCTTTACTGGAACTCCCTCCATGCCAGCACGTATGAAATGACCTCTCTTCACTCTCAAAATTAGATGTTCACGGCCATCCCAAATATGCTCTGGAACATGAATACACTAATAGCGCAATAATGAACCATCCTCAACGCTGGGATTTAATACTCTACTACAAGATAAAGATGATGCCATCTGAAATCTGTTTAAACAAGTAAACTATAAATTTCATATTTTCAATATAAGCAACAAAATTTAACAAATAATTTTATTTTATTATTAAACAATTTTCTATCTTAAATAAACTCTATCAATTATTGTATTAACAAAAATAACTCTTTTACTAAATTTACCTTCAATTAGTAAATCTACAGCTTATATTTCAATAACAGTTTACACAAAAAATTATATATTACAAATATCATTATAGAAAATTTATTTATCTAATTTTTTACTAATATAATCAACTATTGCTTTTTTTTTACACTTAAATTAATATTTTTAACACATAAATTTATTATTATTAATCTAAATCATATAAATAACTACAAACTTTTTAAAAGATTCAAATGTCTAAATTACTAATTATTTAATTTATTCAATTTTCAGTATTTTATATTTTAAATTAACATTTTCAATGTTATTTAAAACTTAAAATTTAACATATTTATGTTTTTTTCACTTAATTCCTTATTCTTTTACTCTAAATTTTTTTCAAAATAATCTAATTTATAATTAAGTGATCAATAACTATATTTTTATCTTTCACGATTTTAAATTATTTACTATTTCTTAATTATGTGACAAAATATTTTTTAAAATTATTTTTACAAATTTAACAATTACAGTTTTTTTAATAATGTAAAATTATTAATTAACATATTTTTTTATTATTTCAATTTTATTTTGTTATAATTATTTATTTATTTATTAACCTACTAACAATTACATATAATTCTAATTGATATATTTATCTAATTTAATTATTTTATATTTCTCATTTAATTTATATTTATGTATGTTTAAACTTTACTTATTTTAACATAATAATATTTATATAACTAAATAATATCAACATTATTTTTACTTTTAAATGCAGTTTTCTAAAAAAATATATATATTATAAATTTTAATTTAAATATTTTAATTATATATCTGATAATTCTAATTTTAAAAATATAATTTTTTATTTTCTTATTATCATATTTTTTATTATCTCTATTTTTCTATATTTATATTTTCTTATTTTTATATTTCTCATTTTTGTATTTTTCTTATTTTCTTATTTTTCGCATGCAAAAAATTAAAAAAATATATAATTTAAATTTTTACTAACCTTTGGTATTTGAATGCTGGATCAAACAACCCCTCACTCTTGCTCAAAGTTGATAGTTCTCTAAGAAATTTTTCCTGTAAAAAGAAAAAAAGCATTATTTTTCTATAAATATATTAATATTTATATCTAATATAAAATAAAATAACTTCTTATGTTACAAATTTTAAAAATAGCAAAATTTTGTAAAATGATATCTTCTTCTACTGCTATGTATCTTTCTTTCTTTTTTTTTTATCATCTTCTATTGTTTTCTTAACGAAGAAGATAAAGTAGACAAAAAGTAAGGGAGAGAGGGACAGGTAAGAAATTTTTTAGAAAATATGCCATATGGACCAATAAACGATGTGTTTGTCTTGAACATGTCAACATCCATGTTAGTCCAACTAGTGCTAACACCAAAGTTGGATATGAGTCATTCGACACATTAAGAAACTTCCACGTATTTAAATTATATCTATAAATCAGTTTTTAAAAAATCTTTCTATTAATAGCACAACATATGCCTTTCTTTAGTTAATGTTAGTAAGAGATTTGATGACACTTTTAATTAAAAAAAATTATTTTGTATCGACACTCTATCTTTTGATACTTCATTCATGTGGTATTCTTTGCTTTAGTTAGCGAATTTATTTTAAAAATACTCTATCTGAAGAAATTGTTTTTCCATTGAACCTATATAGGCAAAAAAAAACCGTTTTGTGGTTGAGAAAAGGATAAAACTACACATAATTATCCAATAGATAAAAAGGATAACTGTGGTGCAGCCAGCAGGGGATTTAGTCTCACCCTCCAATTGTATTGTAGCTACCACACTTTCCTTTTCTGCCAACATTTTAACTATATTTATGTCTTTTATGTGAGACACACTAATAACATGCTCCAATCTATGCTTCTACTTGTTCCAATCTTCAGATGACACACAAATATTTTATACTCGTGTCACATTTTTACTAAGCTTTATCGGAAAACCTATCTGTTTGGTTCTATAGTGTCCTGTTTACATATAAATTTTATTTGTTTGATATTTTCACAAAGTAATGGTGATTTTGCTTCACTTTAATTTTATGAAAACTTTGTGTTGACTTTTAATCGAAATATAACATTCATAACAAAAAAAATATTGTTTATTTTCAAAATATATTACATTCAATTTTAAGAGATTAATCTAGATCTTGCATATGATAGATCGCAATTTCAAGTCTTCATTTGTTTCTTTAAGTTCAACAATATTTTGTCATAAAATAAGATACCATTTTTTCCCTTGAAATTTTAGTTTAGGAAATATAAATACATGTTATTTAAAATAATGTTATACGAATTGAAAAATTTATCAAACAATATAAAATGTAATAGTATAACTATTTTTATTTAAATATTCAAAAATTCATACTCAGATTAATATTTTTCTTGTTTTAACTAACACAATATTAAGGGATAATGATGAATTTAAAGAAATTAATGTCTTAATTTTTATAATGAAAAATAAAATAAAATTTACTATTTTAACAATATTAAAAAGTTGTTGTTCAGTTGAAAAAAAACCAAAGAATGAGATTACTATTTATATCATTATTCATTTATACAACAAATAGAATTGTTTAATTTTTATTTTGTTTTTATTTTATTTCTTTAAGCCCAATGACTTTTCTTATCCTAAAATAAAGCACTATATATATATATATATATATATATATATATATATATATCAATTAAAACTATTATGACTATTTTTCATTCAAAATTTTATATTCTCATCAATTTTTTCTTATTTTAATTACTAAAATATTAAGGGATAGTAATGAATTTAAAGAAATTGATGTCTTAAAGTTTATAGTAACGAATAAAGTGACAAATTATTATTTAGATGCTAAAAAAATAAAGAATGAGATTATCATTTGTGTCATTATTCAATTCGGTCATTTATACAACGACTAGTACTTTCTTTTGTACATTAGTATTATTAAATTAAAGTTTTAATAAATAATTTAAAAATACTATATGATTTTATATTTAGATTTAATTGGATTCTAAGTTTTAAAGATTTAACTATTCAGATTATTAATAATAAATATTTTTATTAAATAAAATTGAAATATAAATTATAAAATATTTAAATTTAAATTAATATTGAATTAAAAAGTTAAGTAAAAGTGGATATTTTATCTCAAAAACAATAAATTTTTATTTTAATTCTTAATTTTTATACTTTTAAAAATTATTAATTTTTCTCCCTGGTCTCAGTTAAATGATGATCTGAATGTTAGCATGTACTAATTTTTGTGTTATTATTTTTTTATGAGATAGCATCGTTGAAAAAAATAAATCTAAACAAACAATTTATGAAAATATAGATAAAAAAATTTATAAAAATTAAAATTTGTATATTTTGAAATAAAATATATTTAGGCTCAAAAAACATCGTGCAAGGTTGATTGAAAAATAATAATAAATGAAATTAATAGCCCATTTATTAGTCATTGCGTTTCTCAAATTCTGAAGGAGGCAAAATAGAGAAAAGTTACATAATTTAATAAATGTGACCGTTACAGAGGAAGAAATTTGAAATTCGAAGCTCCCAGTTGAAAAGACAATGAAAAGAGTGGTTAGTTAGACACAGAATAGAAAAGCCACGTTTAGAAATGGCAGAAGATGAAGAGTACTTGCAATTTCTCAGATCCAAAGCCACAGAGCTTTTCATCAGAGAAGAATGGAAGGACTCGATCGATGCCTATTCCCACTTCATCACCGTCTGCACCCAAAAACCCTCTCACCTCCAAAAGCTTCGAAAATCCCTCTGCATAGCTCTATGCAACCGTGCTGAAGCAAGGTCCAAGTTGAAGGACTTTCACTGTGCTTTGCAAGATTGTGATCATGCTTTGGAACTGGACCCAACTCACTCCAAGACCCTTTTGTGCAAAGGGAAGATCTTGCTTTGGCTCAACAAGTACTCCATGGCCATGGAATGCTTCAGAACCGCTATGCTTGACCCTCAACTTGGTGGGAACTCTGAATGCCTAAGTGGGTATTTGGAGAAATGCAAAAAGTTGGAATTTTTATCAAGGACTGGGTCTTTGGACCTCTCAGATTGGGTTGCAAATGGGTTTCGTGGCAAGATTCCAGAACTTGCTGAGTTCATTGGTGCAGTGCAGATCAAGAAATCTGAGATCAGTGGTCGTGGATTGTTTGCAACTAGGAACATTGATGCAGGGTCTTTGATCCTGGTCACCAAGGCAATAGCAGTGGAGAGGAGTATATTGGGAGGGAAAGATCTGAGTGAGGAGGCACAGTTAGCTATGTGGAAGAATTTCATTGATAAAGTTTCTGACTTTGTTGGAAAATGTCACCAAACGAGGGGTTTGATTGGTTTGTTGTCAAGTGGGGAGGAAAATGAGGATGAACTTGAGGTGCCTAATGTGGATCTCTTTAGGCCTGAGAGTTTGGAGAGTGTGAAGTCTTCTGAGGAGGTTGATATGGTTAAGTTACTTGCTATTTTGGATGTCAATTCTCTCACTGAGGATGCTGTTTCAGCCAATGTGTTGAGGAAGAACAACGATTGTTATGGTGTTGGGTTGTGGCTGCTCCCTTCGTTTATAAACCACTCGTGTTGTCCCAATACAAGAAGATTGCATGTTGGGGACTACTTGATAGTTCATGCTTCTAAAGATTTGAAGGCTGGTGAAGAGGTAACTTTTGCTTACCTTGATCCTTTGTCTCCATTGAGCAAGAGAAAGGATATGTCAGTGAATTGGGGGATTCATTGTAAGTGCAAGAGATGCAAGTTTGAGGGGGAAGTGTTCTCCAAACAAGAGATAAAAGAGATTGAGATTGGTCTTGAAAGAGGGATGGATGTGGGGGGTGTGGTATTTAAGTTAGAAGAACAAATGAAGAGGTGGAAAGTGAGGGGCAAAGAGAAAGCCTATTTGAGGGCATCATTTTGGAGTGCATATTCAGAGGCTTATGGGTCAGAGAGGGTTATGAAGAGGTGGGGAAGGAGGATTCCTACACTGGATGCTGTGGTTGATAGCATCTCAGATGTTGTGGGTGGTGACCACAGGTTACTTAAGTTGCTGATGGAGGAGTTGAAGAAAAATAGTGGTGGCCATGTGGAGATGGAAAAAATCTTCAAGTTGGGAAGAGAGGTGTTTGGGAAGGTAGTGAAAAAGCAAGCAATGAAAACACTTCTTGAGCTTTGCGTTAGTGATTGAATGCGTAAATTCATTATCAGCTTTGTTATTTATATATATATCTTTCTACATTTTTCTATCTCTCCCTAAGTTTGATGTTTTCTTTACTTACCACTGCTACTGTAAACAGCCACGTTCAACTTAAGTTGTCATGGCCACGACCAACGCTATGAATATTATTTTATTGAAAGAATAAATACACCCTTGTTAAAAATTTGCATATTGGTTCTTCTATGCAAATTCTTCTTATGTTATGCTTGATGCCAATGATCCAAATTCAATCTGTTTAAAATTTTATAGTATTGTGTATTCTGTTATTACACAGCGCTTGTGTGTGTGTATAATCAGCGAAGCTTAAAATAATAACTAGTGTGCATATATCGCAACCATTATCCAAAGAAGTTAAGACCATTGAGCGATATACAAAATATGTGACCTTACAGTAGCAGCGAAAGCATGGCTATGATTCTATGAAATTGATGAATAGGCATCTGCATCAAGTGAAACAGCACCCGCACAATGAAATGCAGAGAAAAGAACAGCAGCATATGGGGTTATGCAATACCGAATACAACCTCTTCTATAGTCCTAGATTTAGAGTAAATAGTCACTTTCTTTCTTAATTTTGTAATATCTTTTTGCTTTAGTTTTTAACTAACATTTTATTTTAGTCCTATTAACCTCATTTTACTCTATTTAACTAACATCAATATTTTATTTTAATCTCTAACATAATTAAAATTAGTTCAGTCCCTACATAATTAAATATGCATACCTTCTACATATCAAAAATAAAAATTTCAATGTTAGATATTAACTTTATAATAAATTAATAATAGATATAAAATATTTTATCAACAAGTATAAAATATTAGATAAGATATAAAATAATTATTATGTTTATAATTTTTTAAAAATAATCCATCATTATTTTATGTAAGTGATAATAATTATTACAACTTTATATTTATTTCACAAAAATATTTATTATAGTTATTTTTTATAATATGTCAAGAGAATTTATTCTTTACGTTAAATTTATTTTAATTATTCTTAAATGATTTTAAAATTACAAATAATTATAAAACATTAAATTTTATTTTTTATAAAATTTAAAATAATAATATTCAAAGATAAAATAAAAATAAATACATTTTATAAAAATCATAAATAATGACAAATTAAGTAATACTTAACTATTGTAATATGAGAAAGAAATTGAAAATCATAAAAATACAATAATAAAATTTTAACATTTTAAATATATATCTTAATAATAATAATATATTTATATTATTATTAATGTTAATAGCTGTTATTATGCTATATCAAAAATACCTATTTTTTTCATTGTATTATTAAAAAAAATTATGATTTTAGTAACAATAAATATTTCTTTTTTAAAATTTTACAAAAAAATATTATTTAAATTGTATTAATAATTCATAAATTTTCTTGTTTTACTTTTAAATTTAATAATATCACTATATTTTATTTAGTACTATTAAAATTTTATTAACAATATTTTTTATAAATTATTAATTTTATAATATTATTTTAATGTGTTATAATTTTATTTATTATTATAGTATCTTGTTACTATTATTTTATTAGTTTTATTATTATAATTTATAATATTATAATATAATACTACGTAAATCATTTTGAGGAATTTTTAGTGATATTAAAAAAATTAAAAAATTATTTAAATTTAAAAATAAGAATTCAGCCTATGCAAATAAGTATTTTAACACTATTTACCTTTTCCGTTATATGATATCTAAATTTTAACCAATTAACCTGATAAATATAAATATAAAAATAAATTACTAAAAGATTATAGGTAATTTATAAGTTTAGAGTAGTTTAAATTTGTGGATTGAAATGAGAAACTAGTTTCTTATTTTTAACTAGTAAAAAAAATTAAAAAAATAATTTTTGTTATTCAAACTTGTAAATTTTAAATAAAAATTATAAAATTGAAACATTATATTGACTTGCAAAACTTGTGTAATGATGACACATAAATAACTATTTTTTTTAACGCTTTAACACTTTAAAATTTTATCTATAAATGATTTCAAATAAAAATTTCATGACAACAATAAATTTATCAATTATTTTGAAATTTAAAATACATTTAACTAAAACTTTTATCAATTATTTAAATAATGTATTTACAAAACTTTATTTTCTAATATAATAATAATAATAAGTAACTATCAAGTATTTCAATAATTATAACTAGATATGTTAATAATTATTATTTTTATATTGCTAATAATATTAACAATAAATAAAATTTATTTAAGGACTACGTAACGAACACTTAACTATCAATAATTAAAAAAAATGCATATTTGAAAAAAAAAATTGATAAAGTGATTTTTTTTTAGCCTCAGGTTTGACATTTACAGGGAGGAGATAGTATTGAACTTATGGATCTAGATTCTCTACAGTATTGATAGGAAGTATTGACGGGAATTACAGGGGTAGTACGTCTTCGCTTAAGCGAATTTAATAAAAAAAAGTAGATTTTCACTTTAAGTTAAAAAATTTGCTTAAAGTAAAATTGTGAAAAATTTTAAAACTTTATCTTCTTCCTCTTTAAACTGCAAAAAATTCAAGAAACATTTATTTCTCACCAATGACTACCTAGTTACCAAAGACTCTTACATATTTTATCTCACTAAATATTCCAAATGGAATCTGGATCCTTTGCAGTATTGGCGAGAACTGCAAGGCGCAGTGTGTTTTTGCTTAAGCGAATTTAACAAAAAATGAGTTTGGCTTAAGCAAAAAAGATTCGTTTAAGCGAATTTAGTAAAAAAGTGAATTTTCGCTTAAACCAACAAATTCATTTATGCCAAAATTGTAAAAAATTTCAAAACTTTATCTTCTTTCTCTCTAAATTGCAAAAGATTTGAGAAACTTTTGTTTTTCACCAATGACTACCTAGTTACCAAAGATTCTTATATATTTTATCCTACCAAATACTCCAAATGTATTACCTAATGTGCTACTTGTGCTAAATATTAGTGAGATAGAACCATTTAAAATCAAGTTAAATTGTTGAGAATAGTAATAAGAATTATAGGAATGATAACTTTTAGAAATTGGTTGAAAAATAGTTGTTGTATTACATATTTTAAAACACTTAAGTTTTTGTATTATGATCATAAAGTGTGACCATATGATCTAATATAAATGTTTTTAAATGTATTATTTAGTGTGCTACTTGTGTTAAACATTAGTGAGGTAGAACTATTTAGAATCAAGTTAAATTATTGAGAATGATGATAAGGATTATAAGAATGATAATTTTGAGAAATTAGTTAAAAAATAGTTGTGATATTACATATTTTGAAACACTTAAGTTTTTGTTGTATGATCGTAAAGTGTGACTACATTATCGAGAAACAAATGTTTCTCAAATTTTTTGCAGTTTAGAGAGGAAGAAGATAAATTTTGAAATTTTTCACAATTTTGAGTTAAGTAAATTTTTTAGCTTAAGTGAAAATTCACTTTTTTTACTAAATTTGCTTAAACAAATTTTTTTGATTTAAGCTAAATTTACTTTTTGTTAAATTTGTTTAAGCGAATTTTATTTCGCTTAAATAAAAACGCATTACGTCATGCAATTCTCATCAATACTACAGAAGATCCAAAAGGTAAACCATGATAACATGTTTCAAAGTCTCGTTTGTTTAAGTAATGAACCATAAAAATGAAAATAAAAAATATTTTAGCAACTAAAAACACGAACCAATTTTACAAGTCAATGTTACTATGCATCAAAGAAAAAAGTTTCACTCTCCAAATAACAAAAGTTAAATTTTATAATTTTTATATTTAAATTTCACAAATTTAAGTAACGAAACTTGTATTTTTTATTTTTTTAAATTTCAAAAGTTAAACATAAAAAAATTACATTTTCATCTTGTAAATTTAAACTACCCCAACCTATAAATTGACTAATTTTTTTTTAAAAAGTATATTTTTAACTTGATATGTATTACGTGAATCAGTCTCAAAAGGTTGACAGCACCGAGCATGAAAGTCGCAACACGTCACTGTATCAGAAAATAAATTATGGGTAAAATAAAAAATTACGGTTCCATTCATTTTCTCTGGTTGCAAATTATTCAAAATAAAATAAAATTAAAAGCAAATATATAAATGTTATACTTAAATTAAAAAATAATATCGAAGAGAATTAAAATTTGAACGAAAGGAAGGGAAGAAGAATATTCTACGAAAAGTGGATGCTGACTCCAATTACCTGTTGAGTTAGAAGCCACAAAGCATAACGTTTTGATGTTATTTTATTATTGTCATTTGATATTGGATAATGTAGTGCTTATCCTTGGTCCAAAGTCATAGGCCATAAGCTCACCCCTTTTAGAAAGGACACACGTCACTAATAAGTGTGGCTGCTCATAGCTATCTTTTCCTGATCCTTCTCTAATTATATAAATCATGAATTCAATATCACAAAGTGTTGAACCAGTCAATAATCCCATCACATGTCACATCATTCTTTATCCACATATGTGTCAAAATGGATTCCCATCCACGCCCAAACTCTAAAATCTCCCTTATGTATATTATTTTATATCGATCTTTCTAATATTTTGGATTGGTCACTCAATTAATAATTGAATCGAAGTTTATTCAATAATAATAATTATATATTTTTTTAATCTTATATCCTATTTATTCATAACAGGGTTGCCTCAATTTCCTATCTATTTCTTAAGATATTTGTAGCCTTCCATGTTTCCGATTAGACGTTTATGGATGCAAGTCAAGACAAGTAAATTTTTTTACCAAATCAATATAACAAATTACAGATTAAGCTCAATTTTGTGAAACAAACCTATTTATGAATAGGGATTCATAAATGCCTAAAACTTAAAAGCAAGTGAAAATTTAAACCAATAAACATAAATAAGATGAGATTTTACGACTTTAACATCCCCCAATTTTTTTTGTGCCTACTTTGAGTTCTATTTTTTTCTTCTTTTTTTGCATACATAATTTCTCTCTCTTTTTTTTTCATCCTTAAAGTGCAATCTGTTGCGTTGTTTGGCTCTGCAAAATCACGTCATAAAATCACATTTGGGAAAAAAATACAGCAGTTGCATCTAAGAAGGTTCGCAATTCCTTTTCATGGTGTGCTTAATGCTTTCATAAAGCTTCACCCTCCTATTTTTCCGCTGCCAGTGTCAACTTGTGTAGGATCATTTGAATGATCAAAATTATTTTATATCTTTTGTTCCATGGTGGTCATGTGAGGAAACTTAAAATATAGAAGAAACATTTATTAACAAACTATAAAATAATTATACAAACAAACTTAAATACCATATTTAATCTAAAACTTGAAAGTTATTAGATCATAGATTCTTATTACTTATAAATTATTCAATTTTTTAATTTTATTAATATAAACTTCTTCCCTCATACTTTAAACATGCAAATCCTCAATCATATTTTTGCAATGGATCAAGGAGTTGCGTCATTGCTGAACACATCTATCACTGCATATGTACAAAGCCTATATTATATTATACTTATCAATCAGTATTCAAGATGTGGGGCCAGGGGTAATTAGATGAATAAAACTTTTAGTAACAATTTTCACTTCAAGTCGTATAAACCACAACAAATTCGGATGCCAATAGACAATTCTCGAAATAAATAGATCACTTCAAATAATCACATGCTTCCATTAAAAAAGGGGGCTAAAAGAACCACTTTTGCACTCTTTTTTCTTGTTTAAAGATTATTGCATGGACCACCAATGAGTGATGTATTAGTTTGGTGAAAACATTCTAATTAACAATTCAGAGGATCTAATAATCCAGAATTTGGCTGCTGACTATACAATTATGTGGAAATATATACCCTTCAATATGCCAATAATATTCCTAATTAGAATTTAATGCAGCCCCATATAGATACAGACGTCCAAGTGTTTTGGTTCAAAGAACCATGGACAAAAGTCAGTAACAGATATACATGTGAAATAGTTCTGACCCACAATTGGATCATGCATGCCAGGTGACGCATGTACTAGGAATAGGAAAAATTATCCTATCATCCAATCAAAGCCATGCATCTCTAAGATATAAGGAGCACCATTATCATTGCAAACATTTCAAACACCTTGGTTTCTCTGGAAGACTCCCTAAGTTTCTTCATTTCCTTCTCCTTCTCTTGTCCCAAACCAAAGTGATATTTTTTATTCAATGGAGGGCACCACAAGCTCTGAACTCCCACCAGGCTTTAGGTTTCACCCAACCGATGAAGAACTAATAGTGTATTACCTTTGTAACCAAGCCACATCAAAGCCTTGCCCTGCATCTATCATCCCAGAAGTGGATATCTACAAGTTTGATCCATGGGAATTGCCAGGTATATGTTATATAGTAACATCATTTGCCAAAGCTTTGTTATTATGCGTAACTTCATGATATCTATGTGCATACTTCACTGTATCATTGACCAACAATCCCAATTTATATTACATCTCTACTATGTTCCCTCATGCAAGAGCCCTTTGGAATTGAAACATGAATAATGTAAAAGCCTACCGCATGCTAAAATTCAACATTTTATTAGAAGAATTAAGTCGGCAAGGATTAAACCATGTTAGAACCAATAACTGAAAATTCTGAAAGTGTTGAATGAAGACACATGAATGGTTTTATATTACATCTCTTACACATTGGTTATCAACTTACCATGGAATGCAGATAAAAGCGAGTTTGGAGAAAATGAATGGTATTTCTTTAGCCCAAGAGACAGGAAGTACCCAAATGGAGTGAGGCCTAACCGAGCAACAGTGTCTGGGTATTGGAAGGCCACTGGCACAGACAAGGCAATCTATAGTGGATCTAAGCATGTTGGGGTGAAGAAGTCTTTGGTGTTTTACAAGGGTAGGCCACCAAAGGGTGTCAAGACTGATTGGATTATGCACGAGTATAGACTAGCTGAATCAAAAAAACAAGCTAGCAGGAAAATTGGGTCATGAGAGTAAGGCCTTGATCCTTGACCTCATTGTTACTTTCTGAATTTTAACATTTTAGTTTGCTATTCAATGTTGCTTTACAATTGACATTTCCCTTGTTCTTGGATGTGTCATCAGCTGGATGAATGGGTCTTGTGCAGGATCTATAAGAAGAAGCACATGGGAAAATCATTGGTGCAGGAGGAATATTCAAGTGTCCAAATTAGTAATCTTACAGCAGCAAATAATGATGATGAACAGAAAATTATGAACCTTCCTAGGACTAGTTCCCTTACCTATCTTCTGGATATGAATTACTTGTGTCCAATTTTATCTGATGGCTCCTATTGCTCAGCCTTTGATTTTCAAATTAACACTAGCCATATAGGAATAGACCCTTTTGTAAAATCTGAACAGGTTGAAATGACCAACCATCACTTAGCAGATTCAGGGAAGTTCCAAGTGAAGCAGAGTAGCACACCGTGGACCAGCCCATATTTGTGAAGCAAGTGTATGATCTGCTAGGATGCGACCAATAGGAGGAAAATTTAGGATTGTGTAGACATAATGATGGCAAGCGTGTTCATAAAATAATCCTGAAGATTCTTTGTGGAAATATGTCAAATATCTGTTATATTCACAAACGGAATTTCAATGTTTAATGCTTCAAAATTGAAGTTCACACATCTGGAATTACCTTCCTTACCTCGATACGGTTCAAACAGGGGATGAGATCATGCTTTGGAAGCATTTGAAGCTAGATTTGGTCACCCAGTTTTTGTACATATTACTGATAATTTATCTTGACCAACAGATATAGGACTAGTTTGTTTTTCAATTAAAAAATGAATTCTCGTATTCTTTTAAATATAAAACATATAGTTTAGTAAATACATATTTTAATTATATTTAATTATTTAAGTTTATAGATGTCAATAATTGAAGCCAAACAGGGTGTCATAGTTAACATGATTCTTTGTTTGTACATTGTCTTATCCAAAAGATGACGGAAACAAACGGTCATTGAACCGCGTAGAAAGGAACAAAATGCGTCTATAAGATTGACTTATGCTTTGGCTTATATTAATATTAAAAGAACTTGTTGATCGATAATTTAGGATATTCATTTAAAAATAATAAATAAAAAATTATTTAAAAAATTGATAACAGCGTATTTAACACTTTGTAATGATATTTTGATGTAAAATTTTTTTAAATTTGTATTCTTTAAATCTTTATAATACTAATTACAATTTGTCAAATATTAATATCAAGGGGGCTGAGAATGATACGTATCAGACTTCTAAATAAGTAGTTATCCTCTCGTATTTGCATAGTCAGGAAATTGAAAGTCAATGTCGATAAGTAGATTTTTATATAAAATCACTTGAATGGGTCATATTTCACATTAATGTGTTATAATGTAACTTGGTTAAATCCTAGCATTCTTGGTGTAGGATTAGAACACGAAGTAGATCAGATTAAGCATCTCTTAAACTAATAAATTCTGAAGAGCCTAAAACAGCGATTGACTCCTAACAATCTCATCTCCCATAATTAATATTTAATATAACAAACTGGTTGCTAAACATTCATTCTCTTCATGGATTTTTTTTATTCACCCTTTCATGTAAACTAAAATAAATTCCAAGTCTTTATTTATTTCTTAATTTGCTTTTATATTTTGGATTATCTATAATTTTTATACCTATTTTAGTTATGTGGATTTTGGAAGGCATTATTAGGAGTAGCAAAATAGAGGAGTCTCTTATTAAAAGTTCACCAAAAAGTGAATTGATTAATGATTATCCATATATCATTTTTAAAAATGGACTAAAAATTCTAAACCTACTTGTTTAGAAATGAGTAGGTGAGCTAAAGATTAAAAAATTCAAAAATATAAAATGTGTTGGCGAATTAATTTAATTAAAATTAATATAAAAAATAAAAAATTATAAAAAATATAAATTAATATTATATGATAATAGTAATTAATTATTAACTAATAAATGTATTTTAAATTTTTTAAAATTTTGTCGAGCAAGTCACCTGTCAGTGACCTATATTTTGGTAAGCTAAAATGAAGTAGTTAAACAGATTGAAAAGTGTAAAATGGTAGGTAACTTTTTTTAAGATTAGGTTATCTGGTTATATAAGATCTCTTTGCTCAAACATACAAATCAACTCAGAACAAAAATTCCAAATTCTAAGTGTAATAAACAAACAATTGCAATCAATAACTTTTGATTAAAATTTTTTAAGCTAAAATGACAAGCTGAACTAAATATTTTACATCTAATGACTTGCTTAATTTATCTCATTTTAACCTATCAAAATACGAGTCAACTGTGAGTTAAGGTGAGGTAGCTCTTTGAATTTTATTTTTTTTTAGTTTTAAAAGTTAACGTATAATTATGTAAAAATTATTACTTTTTATTAAATAAAAATATTTTTTAATATTTTTTTATTAATTTCTGTAATTTTTTCTTTAAACTAATTTTAGACAAGCTAGTTCATTAACCTGTTAGCCTATCAACTCTTTTTTATTTATTTTTTTAATTTTTTGATCTTCGGCAAGCAACTTCTTAGCCTACCATCCCACCCTTAAAAGTAAAAGGTATAAAATTTATCTCATTTTAAAAAACAGGCGAGGTAAGTTAGCCAATTTTATGGCATACTAGCTAACTTTGACATCCCTAATTTACATCACTTAGTATTTTTTATAAAATGTGAGTTCAATTGTAAAATTATTATCTTAATAATTATGTATATTAAAATTTATATTTATATAATTTAAACATTTATAACACAATTAAAAAATAGTGTTTTAAGAATCAATAAAATGGGTCATTAAAATTGAAAATTTAGTTGCAAAATTGATTAGCAACTGAATAGTAACAGTGACTAATTTATTGGTCGCAATTACTTTAGCAAACGAAAAAGTAATTAGTTGCAAAATTTTGAAACTTTTGGGTCGCAAATTTATTTTCTAGGTCACAAATTTTAGTTGCAAAAATATATGTATGACAAAAAATAGAAACTAAATATTTGGTCACAAATATAAATATTCGAAATCAGTTGCTAATTAGAGACTATCATTTTCAATCAAATTTGGTATATCTTTAGGAATTCTAGATAATTAGCGATTCAGTTAAATTTTTCTTGTTAAAAAAATAATCAAAATATTAAAAAACATGCAAATAATTAAGTTCTATGATAAGTAAAACCTTTTTGAGAGTATCAATCATTGTCGTACATGACCTTTAATAACAAAGAAACTTATTAATCAAATATAACAAAAGTTGTTAAAGTTAGTATCATTATACTTTCACTCCAAACTAATTTATTATATGAACTAAAAAAAAAAATAGTAACTCCAATTTACATATGGATAAAAAATTAAAAGAAAATAATAATAATAATAACATCGTCATAGTAATAACATTGTAACAGCAAATATTACATGGTGATTGCAACTCTTTAGAAGTACATTCTAGAATCTAGATGAGCTACTTTGTTACATTTGTAAGTAGTATACAACCAATTAAATCCTCATGTCACATTTTGATGGTAGCTAATACAACATAAAAAGACTCCTACAAATATCATGCATGAACAAACTATGGTATATTCAAATTTTTAAAAAAAAATCAAAACTTCGAAAACTTTAAGTTGTTCAATCAACTTTGGTAAGGCTGAAAATGAAAAGTTAGAATATTTTTATTTATTATATAAGAACTATTTATATTCAACTCTTTTTATAAAAAAAGGAAAAAAGATATTATTAACATAATGCACCTTGCTTTCAAATGTGTAGATTTTAGAAATTAAAAACAAAAAACAAAAAACTTAGTAGCTCCTTTCACATTTCTGTAATCCCAATTTATTTAGATATGATAAATAATCAAAATAGAAAATTTAACAAAAACTTAATGAATTTAGAAATAGAAAGTTGCATAACCCTTAAATGTATTGATATTTGCATATTGAAAAAAACATGGTAACATAACATGAAAATTTACTATTAGATCACTAATAGTAATTAAAAATTTACTTACAATAATAATTAAATATAGTAACATGAAAATTAAAATCATTTGTATATTTAAATACATATTAATAAGGATCATTTAAATAATAGTATTTTTGAATATTCTTCTAACCATTTGCTAAGTAATTTACCAATTCATAGTGTCTTTACGAATATAACATTATTAATTAGATCCCTTAGTTAGGTAAGGCATGGGATGTCAGTTGGCGAAGATGATTCTTTTAACATAAGATTTCAAGCTTTAATCTTTTGTTAAAGCTTGTCACTGGAGTTTATATTAAAGTGCAACAAGAAGATAAATGTGTATGGAAGTCAGATTTTTCAGGTTGTTATTCAGTGCAATCTGCGTATTCATGACTATTTAAACTTTTCAGTGATCCTAATAGTGTAAATCAATGTACGGCAGACGCCTTGCAAAGGTTATGGAAAGGGAAGGTCCCTCTTAAATGTCTAGTATTTTCTTAGCAATTGTTGTTGAATGCACTTCCTTGTAAAAGTTTGCTGATTGATTGTGGTATTCAAATTGATGATATAACTTGTTATTTCTATCATGATTTGGGGAAACTTTTAACTCATTTGTTTTTAACGTGCTCAGTTTCATTTCAAATCTGGTATTTTACGGCGTGTTGGCTTGAATTCTCACTGATTTTGCCTTCATATTTATCGACTCACTTGCTTTCTTGAGTTGGTGTTGGTTGCAGTAAAAGAGAAAGGATGTGTTTATTAATTATTTGGGTAAGTACAGTGTGGTCTTTGTGGTTACATAGAAATAAAATAGTATTTTCCAATGGTGTTTTGGATGAGAAGAAAGTCATAGATTCTATTATTCTGAAATCTTGAAAATGACTATCACTTGTTAGTAAGGGAAAAACTATTTTGTTAGCAGATTGGTATCTGAACTCACGAAATTGCTTTCGTCTTAACTTTACATAAATATGTTTCTAATTTTATTTTTCTGAATAAGTATTAGTTTTTTTTCTCTATGTATATGGGTCTTAAGTTCCCCTTGAAACTCTTTCTAATAATATATATTTTGCTTAATGAAAAAAAATTAGATCCCTTAGTTTCTATAAATTATTATGATTATACACACCAATTTTTAATATAATTCAATGATCAATTTTAGTAACATCATGTAAATTATTCTATATAAATGTCAATAATCATATATAATAAAATAACATCAATCTAAAGTAAAAAAAAAATGGTATAAGTATAAATAATGTTACTTTGTCATGTTCATTAAAAACACCAAATCTTATAATTTCATTTGACAATTTTAATGTAACGAAAGGATTTCTTATAAAAGGAGAATTCAAGTAACATTCAAAGTGGAGTCTATAGTAAATTTCTTTTATAGTAATAAAAATGTAGAAAGTAATGATCATATATACTTTTCTTTTTACTTAAAATATTGAATAATAAAATAAATGTATTATATTTAAAGTGGAGTAAAAATATATATACTAAATGTAAACATATGATGAAAGAAAAAAAAAGTAATATTACTCTTTTCGTCCTCTAACTTTAGGATAAAATTCACTTTCGTCATCTAACTTTCTTTTTTGTTCATTTTAGTCCTTTAACTTTTAAAAAAGTTTCAAATAGTTCTTTTTTGGTTAAAGACTTTAATGCCATTAGAAAATTTTGTCATTTTGTGCTACGTGTACTGTGTATTACTATTCATTGTCTTCTTCCTTAGATCTCTTATCTGGTTTCCGGTCAATAACTTTTCTTCTTCCTTCTCCTTTCATATTCATCTTATACTCAAATCTCTATCTTCTTACCACTAACACCAAGCACTCACCCCCAAATCTCAAACCATAAATAACCTAACTTTTAAATATCTATTTTTCATCTCTGATAGATCTAAACACATGTTTCCATTTTTCATTTTATTAATTTTTTATACTACCCTAACCTTTCAAGCCTTCATGAACAAGTATACTATGTTCTGGAAGTTTAAAACATAATCTAAAAATAAACACAGATTGTCAGAGATGGAAAATGAGTATTTAGAAAGTTAGGTTATTTATAGTTTGAGATTTGGAGGCGTGCTTGGTGTTAGTAGTAAGAAGATAGAGATTTGAATATAAAAGGATGAAGATGAAAGGGATAGGGAAGGAGAAAAGCTGTCAGAAACCAAATCTGAGATTTGAGGTAGAAGATAATAAACAATAACACATAGTACACGTGATACAAAATGACAAAACTTTCTAATAGAATTAGGGTCTTTAATGTAAAAAGACCTGTTTAAAACTTTTTTAAAAGTTAAAAGACTAAAATGAATCAAAAAAAAGTTAAAGGATGATGAAAGTGAATTTTATCCTAAAGAGATAAAAAGAGTAATTTTGTCAAAAAAATTTATAAGTAAAATAAAGAAAGAAAGTAAGCAGTAGAAACATGAATGCATAAGCAAGAGAAGATGAGATGAAACTTGACATTCTATTAGAAGAGTCTATCATTAACTTTTTCTCTTATTAGAATTGTGGTAATCAAATGGTACCGATAGAAACAATGTAGATGCATTTTTGTATGCAAACGTAAAATTTGATTAAAAAAAAAAGATTAAATTCTACGGTGCTCTTTAAAATTGGCATTTTATGTTCTCTTACACAATGAGAATATTGATTTATTTAAAATATATAAATATTTTTTAATTTTTAAGATATTAAAAAAATTACACTCCTTGTTTAAAAAAATATACAATACTTTCTTAATTTTAGAAGCACTTTAGCAAGAAAAAAAGAATAATTAAATTAATAACATGAAAGAGTGTTAATTATTTAATATTGTGAAATATGAATGATTTTTTGAGAAATAAAATTAACTTCCCTCCCTTTAAACAATCTATTATGTGGTTTTAAATGTTAAAATACGAAAGATCTTAAGAAAATAATAGTTATTCTTTTCTTATATAAAATAATGAAATTTACTGAATAAACTCTTTATGAAGTGATGACACGTCTCACAAAATAAATAAATATATGTTAAGTGTTGAATTTATTAAAATATATCTTTAATAAATTTTTATCAAAATTACATTTTATTATAATTGTTTAATTGAAAGTTCTTATAAAATAGTTTAACTCTACAAAATTTCACATATTTTAAATGCTAAGTGAAACTCTATCATCTTATTATATTTTAATGAATAATATATTATTTAAAATATAAATAAATAGAATAGTATCTATAAATATATAAATTATGTATATTTTTATATACATATTTTTGTAATAATATTACGAGAATCAACAGTTTGATTGAAAAATTATCTTTTAATAAAAATATTAAAGATGTGATTTTATGTAAGAAATATAATATTGGTAATACTATTAATTATAAATTTATAATTATGGCGTAATAGTAGTTGTTCTTTACGACATTTATTCGGTTTCAAGTGGAACCAATGTTGGTTCGTACTAATCTAACCTAATCAAGTAATATCAATACTTCATGTAATATATTATTATTATTATTATTATTATTCCTTTGGTTCACTATTTTTATATAAAGAATATATGTAACATTATTTTAACATATTTTATATAATTAAATTTTTAAAAAAGTTAACATAATTTAAAAAATGATTAATTTATAAGATAACTACTTTACTTTTCTAAAATTTGATCAATCACAAAAAAAAATATATTACTAGAATTCAACTGAACTCTCTTTTACTAAAGTTCGTATTTTTATATTATTATGTTGGAATAATATCAAAACATATGGTTTACTTATAATTCGCACGTAGCTCACTTTTTAAGCTTCAATATTTCCTTGCATCTCAATTTACTTAATCTTGACGAGAGTTTGGTTAAGTGGTCAAATCATTTGGCTTATAAGCACCGGATTAAGAATGCGTAACAGGATAGGATAATTCTTTTTAGCATCTTAATTAATTAAAGATTCTTGTAAATCGGTGTGTATTTAGGATATTGATTAAGAAATTTAAAATACACAATTTTTATTATGTTGAAATGCATTGAAAATCACAGAAGGAAGTGCATTAATAATATATATATTTTTTAATTAAAGTCAGAGGTTGAAGTTAACATTTTTCATATTTTTTAACAAAATTTTTTTCCTTTGAATTCCTTACCAAGTGGGCTAACATTTGTCTCATTTAAAATTTGGATTTTGTGACGTTTTAATGCTATGATGACCATCTGTTTAGTCTTTTTATGTTTTGTTACTATTGGTAACATGGAATGATGTGTAATTAATCAGTTTTATTCACGAGTGAGAATCTGATATGCGACCCTTGTGGTTACTAACTACACAGCAACCAAGAGCAGCATTTCACTTGAAGTAAAATGAAATGCAAAAATTATTTCCTTGACATCTTCAGCAAGGTCATAAGTGATGAACCTTGAATGTGAACAATGAACGAAGAACAACAAAAAGCTTTGAGTACAGAACATTTGTCATCGAAAGCTTTTAATTATTGTAAGAAATTATTGCAGCCGGGGAAAGCCACAGACAAACACAATCAGATTCAGGGTTATGCACACCACTTTTCCATGCCCATTATTTTTTTATACCAAAACCAAAGTCAAGTGAACAATTACTAAGGTACTGTACATGGATATATAATACCATGTACCATATCAACGCTTGCTTATTGATACTGCTGACATAAGAATGAGGATGATGAACAGAACTGCTGCAATGAAAGAACCAATGAGTGAACCAGAAATGCGTTCACAGAAGTTGTTGTATTGTCGGCAGAAAGGAAACCAATTGGCATTTGGGTTGCCATAGTGTGCTACATAAACGATGGCTGCAGCTGATGAGGCCCCAGTTGTGAGAAGACCAAACATAATCTTCACAAGTTCAACACAACCTTCATTAGAAACATTTGGCAGTAACATCTAACAAGATAAGAAGGTGTACAATGTTACCGAAGCCCAATTTTTGTAGGCAATTTTCTTCCATTCCCCCTCTCAGAACTAGCTCTTAGCCCAATTTAATAGTAACACAGTAGCTTCAAAGAATTAGAGAATGTTTGGAAGATCTTTTGGCTTATGAAAAAGTTTATGCCATTTGTAAAAAAAATTTTGCTTGTTCAAATAAACTTCTTGGTATATAGTTTATTAAAATAAATTATTTTTAACTTAATTTAATGATTTTCTATGCTATAAATCCTAATATAATAAGAGTTTATGAATAAATGTTTAACAAAATTGTGTATTCAAATACATCCTTAATTTATTATGAAAATTTGGAGGTTAAAATGTTCAATAAACCTTTCCCCTGTGGCCAAACTGGTGGCTAAATTTGGAATGACATTCAATAGCATGAAAATTAGAAAAAGAAACAGTGTGTTTACCGTATCAAGAAAGACCTGGAGAACCCTGCTTCTTACTGCATTACTCCTTACTATATGGAAGAATGACAGGGCAAGTGAAAGAAGTAGGTAGCCACACACAATAGAATTGGAGGTCACAAAAAACCTGGAATTACATATTTCAAATTTTCTTTTCTACAAACTATGCCATAGTTAAAAATTATTATTTTAAGGCATATATACAATAACTCTTTCAAACAATGGCCACTTACACAAATGTAGGAAGGTCATCAAAAACAGCTCTGAATTTTACAAACCGTGTGGCAAATGGAAGTGTTTCCTTTGTTGTTCCCATACCCAGTGCACTTCCCAGGGTGCAAATAGCTGCAACAATTCTCAAAATGAAGTCCACTATTGAGAGTCCTCTCTTCAACCTTTTTCTTGGGGCTAGTCTTTTTGAAATTTCTCCACCCTCAATTGCACTGGCCTTCATTTTTGTTACAAATGGATTCTCTTCTCTTGTGGGTTAACAAGTATCACAAATGCTACTTATTTATATACTTGAATCAGTAAAATAGAACCCTGATTTTACATTAAATATATCCAAGAGGGATACAATTTTAGTGGATTAGGTTTGCCAAGATCTAAGTGGCTTGACCTAAGCATGAGACATGCTACTCTGTGAAGGTTATGCTTGGTCTTAATCTTTTATCTTCAATAATTCCTTTGCCTTATTACTTGCATTGTATAAACAAAGCATGACGTTTCTTCCACCTCTAGTAAATTATAGAATCATAGTTTGACTAAACAATTCTTTAAAATGTTTAATTAGTGTCACATGCCGATGGAGAATGAAAAACACATGCAATATTACTTGAGGTTTTTAGTATTATTTATTTGAGTGTAACAATGAAAATTTTCCATGAATAACAAAGAAATATGTGGAATTTTGATGGAACAAATTAAAATTTTTTATGTCCATCCTTTGCGTTTCCTAAATATGCATTGAATGCTAGGGAATCTTACACAGTAAAGTAGCACTCGGTTATGAAAAAAGGAGATGCTGTGACACCATGTAGTGATGTGATTTGCAAATTATACTTAGTGGTTTGGGTATACGATTTATTGTTTTTAATATCATTGTGTAGCATCTAGAAAACCCTGGACTAGAAGGTTTTGTGTAGTAGAGGACAATTACATGATATCACATTTCAACGTCGGCATTTGATTAAAAAAATGGAACATTAAACCATAAGATAATATACACGCTATATGAATTAAAGTGACCGAGGGCAGCACTGGTTCTGCTGGTAGTGTTTGATGAAGTAGGCAACTTGGTGCTGTACGTTCACTGTGTTTACATCCCACTTTGCCACGGTATAAACGGCCTTCAAAGAAATACAAGAATATTTGGCCCCAGGTAACGTCCCTTACATTTTTGGCTTTTTGAAAAAATAATAAAATTTAAAAGGTGTTTACTAAAATAATTTGAAATGAAATTATTTATCTGAGATAATTTTTGCTACTTTGACAATAAATATTACCTCTTTTGGTGACGAGATTTTGATTTAAAAAAAATATTTTCACTAATTGTAAGTACTTTAGTAATGGATGGGACTAGTCTTGCCTCTTGTCTAAACAAAACTAGTCACGTTCACTGCAACAACAAGACTTTAAGTCCCTCTTGTTATATAATAATTTTTTTCTTTTTTGTTTATTAAATAATTATATGTATTATTAGTTTTTTTATTTGCCACAAAATTATATATAAATGACGTTCACGAATTTATTTTGTTTACAGCAAACTCAATTAATAGATAATGCTTTTAGTGTATTGACGCTTATTTTTAGTAGTTGACTTTATCTTGGTAAGTATTTAGTGTATTGTTATTATTTTTTTAGTTTTAATATTAATTTTTTAAAATAATAATAATTTTTTAAGCAAAGGCATGATTCATTTTCTATGAACACAAATCCTTTTAAACTAGGCTTGTAGGTGCAAAATCAATCTTGTGAGCACGTCTGATAAATCTATATTTTGATTAGATTTTAGTTAGTTTTTTAGGATCTTTTTAACAAGAAAGTATAATTTAGAAGATAAAAATCTCATAAAAATATATAATTGTTCAAGTAATTTAAATTTTAGTTTAGTAACTCAATTTGTTTGGATTGAATAGAATTTTTATGTAAATGTTGTTGATTGAATTAGTTTTGCAAGAAATTTCAAGGAAAACATAAGAATTGGAAGCTTTAAGAGGTTAAATAGATATAGTGTAATCACTTTTAGTACAAAAAATGAGCACTTCAAAGGTCTGGAGAATAATTAAGGAATGGGTGTAGCTACTTTCTGTACAAAAAGTAAGCATTCCAGAGACATAGGGAATGAAATATGTTGAACGTAAGCACTTTTAGTGTCAAAAGAAGTCACTTTAGAGGTTTGGAAAGGGAATTTTTTTGCACATAGATACTTTTGTGACCAAAAGTAGCCACTACAAAAGCTTAGAGGAAGGTTGGTATTGCACGTAACCACTATTAGAATGAAATGTAGCCACTACAAAAAGCTTAGTTGATGAGTTATGCTGCGCGTAGACATTTTTTATGCTGAAAGTTGTCACTTCAGAAGTCGTGAAGCTATGCGTAACTACTCTTTTTTTTTTTTTTGCTAAAAGTAGTTACTCTAGAAGCAGTATTATGCAAAAGACCTTGTGTTTAAACACTTTTTAGGTAAAAAGTGGCTATGCGCAAGCTTAAATGAGGAATTCTGTTGCGCATAGCTACTTTTGGAGTAAAAAGTGGTTACGCCAGAAGAGCAAAAAAGTTATAAATAGGTAGAAACTCATTTTTTTTTCTCATTTTTTTATTTTCCACACTCTTAGAGAGTTAGAGAGATGATTGAGAGTGAATTTCAAATCTTAAATCTAGAGAAATCAAGCTTGGGGCTTGGATTCATGGAGATTTTCTATACCTTCTCTTCTACTCTTTCTTTCTCTCTTTCTTTTATAATCATGTTCTAATTTACTTCGATTAGGGATTGATGGATCCAATTTAGATATTGTAAATTGATTGTGGATCTAAATTCTAAGATCTTGATTGTATTAAACATTTAATTTTTTCCTTAATGCAATTCTTGGATTAACCATTCAATTGAATTGAACTTAAAAAGTTTTCATCAATGGAAGTTAAGATAATTTTTTAGATCTGAATTGAATGTCAAGGTTATTGATATCTTAGGAATAAGCATTTATGATCTTGCGATATCTTAATTTCTAATACCTAATGTAACACATTGAATTTAATTTTTAAAATAAATAAATTTCATAATAATGGGAATGATAAAAATTTTCATTCAATTAGTTTCCAACACATAGTTTCAATAAAGTCTTTTAAAATAAGGATGGATTACCATTTGAATCAAGTAATTGCTATAGAACTTAATTAATACATTTTAGTTCCAAAAATAAATATTCTAAGCTCTATATCAGTATCATCTATCTCTTCACTGAGCTCGATGTTGATCGTCTTGATCACCTGACACTACCACACACAAGCACAGAGACTCACCTTACACATTTTATATATTTACTAACATAATTCTAATCAAGCATCCTACAAATACAACTAATACTTTTCAACATACTATTCCAATTCACAAATAGGTGCACTCACTGCACCATCAAACAATCTACACACGCGTGCGCTTACTGCACGTAGTCACGCTCACTGTGACACTATGATCATAGATTCCTGATGCCTTCAATCAATCTCAGGGACTTACTCAATTTCATACCATGGATGGTCGTCAGATAGCTCCCGCTCCACGGATACAATGTGTGCGATATTGAGCCCCCAAGCAAAGGTGTTAGTCAGAGGCCAAGTTAGGAGGAAAGTGTGTGGCATGTAATGAACTCACGCTCACTATTGGTGTCATCACCACTCTCTCTTTCTCAAAGTATTTCTACCGCCCTCATCTTCCACACCCCTAGTGTATCGCGAAACCATTCATAGTTTTTCAACATTTCCAAACACAATCATAATCACAATTAACATGTCATTTTTCCACTTTCAACCATTTCATATCATTCGTCATCAACAAATAGCATGTTTACACATCTCAACCATATTATACTTAAACACAGAATTTCCAACATCATTTCATCACACACAACATTCATTATCCATCATACACCTTTTCTCAAATAGCAATCATATTATATTACACACCACATTTCCATCAAGATTCAATCATAACCAAACATTCTCATAAAAATACACTTCTTCCTACGTTTCATTCTAACCACATTATAATATATATCCAAATAAACAATTTCCAAGGATAATGAGATAGGGTAGAGTCTTCCCTTACCTAGGAATGAAGACCCAACAAGAAATCAACAATGAAAATACTCCCATCACGGATTTCATCCTAAACACATAAAAAATCTCCATGAGAAATTGAGAAAGTAAGGAAGAGGGATGAAAATCGAAACTCTAATCCATGAAACTCACCTCCAAGCGTTCCAAACATTATTTCAATCTTCAACCTAGCTCCAAAACGGCTTTGGAGACAATTTAATCGGTGAAATAAAGTTTTGAGTTGAAAAAATCAAAGGAATTTCGAAGAGAAGAATGAAAAATAAATTTCTCAAATCCTAAACCCCACAAATACCTTTCTGGTTGCAATATTCTCGCTACAGTAAGACATATTTCGCTACAGCGAAAATATTAGAGAAAACTACACTCTAGTTTCTGTAGAATTCACTACAGCAAGACTGCAACCCAGAAATGCACTTATCTATGTTGCCTTCTCGCTACAATAAAGAGTCTCTCGTTACAGCAAGAACACTTTTGCAGCACACACTTAGTCTTTTCAATCAATCCAAACACATCCAATATCTCAATACACCACCAACATCTACAATTATACATACATACATATATATATATATATATATATATATATATATTCATCTACACGTATTCACACATATTTATGTCATCACACACACACACATATACATTCATATCATCATACTCATCAAATATATATTTAAATAGCAATCGACATGCTTATATAACAATATTACAAAATTTGGGGCATTACACCTAATGCAATATTTGATTAATTTACACCTAAGGAAGTAGGGTAATTAATTGAATATTAGGATCATTGAGTCAAGGAATTAAACTTTGATTAACCTCACTTTAATTTCTGTAAAATCTCACTACAGCGAGACTGCAATCCAGAAATGCATTCATCTATGTTGTCTTCTCGCTACAATAAAGAGCCTCTCGCTACAGCAAGAATGCCTTTGCAGCATACACTTAGCCTTTTCAATCAATCCAAACACATCCAATATCTCAATACACTACCAACATCTACAATTATACATATATATATATATATATATTCATCTACACGTATTCACACATATTTATGTCATCACACACACACATATACATTCATATCATCATACTCATCAAATACATATTTAAATAGCAATTGACATGCTTATATAACAATATTACAAAATTCGGGGCATTCACCTAATGCAATATTTGATTAATTTACACCTAAGGAATTAGGATAGTTAATTGAATATTAGGATCATTGAGTCAATGAATTAAACTTTGATTAACCTAGTAAAATTAATCATCAAACAATTAAGGAATTTAAAATTAAGATCACATTCAGTTTTGTAATAAACAAATTGGTGAAATCAACCCTAACTTCATTTGATTAATCATCTCATTCTTTATTCTGTTATGTTGTTACCTTTTGAATTTTTTTTGCACATTTATGATTTAGTTCTCAAATGTTCAAAACATCTCAAATTTTAATTAGCTCAAATAGTTTTTGATCTATAAATTGGTAATTGAATGAATCAATCCTTGTGAATGATACTTAAAACTTAAAATTATAATTTTATTACTTGATACAACTACCTAATACACTTGCTAAATATGACTCTAAGAACATGACAAATTTTTGCCCTAAATCCATTATATATACATCAGTGAGCTATTTTTTACCTTTAGAACTATTGTTTTGCTATATAGAATTTCTCCATTACTAGAGGTACTCATAACACACCTTTGAGAATTAGTTGTTTAAAAGCTCCTTTCTATGTCTTTCTTATTATACTAATAATCTTTCTTCAAGTGCCCTTTGATACTACAATGGTAACACTTGACATTCTTTCATCTTTGGAATTTTGATCTACCATGATTTTGACTCCCACTAGGGTCACAATCCATTGATTTTCTTCTCGTTACTGCTAAAGCTTTTGCTCGTTTTGAACTTTTTGCTCTATTCTCTTTATTGTTATGTCTAGATTTTTCAAGAATTGCGCTGGCTACATCAAAAAAGGATAAAGAGTTAATGATATTATTATTTATAATATTGATGATGACTTGATCGTTTGAAACCGGTAGACTTTGAAAGAGAAGCTTTACACGCTCATTGTTTACTATTTTGAAATTCGATGTTGTGGATCGAGAAAATAGCATATTTAGATTATTGATGTGATTAGTCACATATGACGTTTCACTCATCTGAAGAGTATAAAATCTCCTCTTTAAGAAAATTCTATTGTAAAGAGACTTGACCTCATACAATTTAATGAGAGTATCACAAATTTTATTTGCACTTTTCTTCTCCGCAATACTTGATAAGATAGAATTAACCATTGCCAAATGCAAATTTGCAATAGCATTATCATCGATTTCTTTCTAATTATCATTTGTTATATTTCTGTGTCTTCATTCAATTACTACTAGGCAATTACCCATCCTCAAAATTGCTTTTATCTTCAATTTTTATAAAGAGAAAATATTCTTATTTAAGTTTTTAATCTCAAATTTTGTTGCTATTTTTTTAACTAGATCAATGTGCACAGTAATAACTAATATCTGCAACATGAAAATTTGCTTTTATCTTCAATTTTTATAATGAGAAATTATTCTTGTTTAATTTCTTAATATCAAATTTTGTTGCTATTTTTTTAACTAGATCAATGTACATAGTGATAAATAATATCTGCAGCATAAGCCAATAACCTTCAACACTAATACCACTATTAAGTAATATATATAAAGTAAATATTTACAACTAAAATAGAGTTAAAAAATATTAGAATTGGAACCTTTTATTATGTGGAAGAATAATACAACTTATCTTTAATTACAAGAAAAAATAATAACACTATCTCTTAATAATAGAATAAAATAAAACTAAAAAAATCTTACTGGGAAAACTTTCCTTTTTCCTCTTTGAATTTTTTCTATAAAAATAACACTAAAAAAATGAGATAATATATAACGAAAAAACATGTATGTATTTATAGTTAGAACTCCAACTTCAACTTGTGTTCCTCCTAAAATTATGGAGTATTCTTCACCTTATTCTATTCACACAAATTGCAAATTTCAATGAAAAACAATTCATCTTTTTTTTTATTTATTTTTATTTTTACTTTTTCTTTTACCACAAAAGGGACTTTACCTTTTCAATGTTAAAAAACTAACTAAATTAATTTTATTTCATATCAAATTTATTCCACACCTAAAATATAATAAATATAATTTAAGTTATTAAATTGGAAGCATTAGTAGTTATTTTAATTATTATTTTAAAATTCAAATATGAAATATATAACTATATTCAACAAAATAATTAATAAATAATATTAAAAATAAATTAAATAAATACTAAAAATATAAATTAAAAATATTTTCAAAGCTTAAATTGCTTCAATTATTTTTAGTAAATTATAATTAAAATAAATTATTTATATATAATACAATTTTTAAATAACTTAAATTAAAATTACAACCAATATTATTTTTTAGTGAAAAAATAAATTACTAAAATAACATAATAAATTTAATAACAACTAAACTAATTAAATTAGTACTAAAGAATTTTAAAACAAAATACTAACCTAATACTACTTCTTCAAATTGAAAAAGAGGTCTAAGCCGTAAATTGAAAAATTTTGTTTAAATATACATATTATATACACTTTTATATTGAATAAAAGAGTGTAACTATAATTTTTTATCCAAAGGATAAAATGGTGTATTGCGACACTAGAGACAATTTTGCCTCTGTTATGAATTTTACCAATATCACTTTTATTGTGAGCAAATAAGATTTTCTTTTTAATATATACTAGGTAAGGAATTTGTTTTTAAAATTGTATTTTTTTTTTAAATTTAAAATCCAATCCAATAGTTCAATTTTTTTTTTATATTTTTTAACTTAAATTAGATTGGAACTTATAAACACTCATACTTAATTTTTTAATAAATATTATAAAATTGCTAACCATTGTCTTAGGAGTATCGATTAATGAATATTTTTTCATTAAAAATGTATTAATACATATTTATTGTAATTTTAATATATTTTCAGCATATTTTTTTAATATTTTTATTTGTTAGTTTCTTAATTAGAACTCTAAAAATATTGATTAATAACCTTAATTTTAAAAATTATGTAAAGTATTCAAATATCATACTTACATTATTGTAATTTAAAATGATTAAAAATTTAAATAAAGTTGAAAGGATGGCTTATGGCAGGAAAAGAAAGTTGAGAAGAAGCGGAGATGAAGTGCTAGTGTTAGGGTACACTGCCCTTTCTCACCAACGGACCATGGTTTCACTTCCGTGACTCGCCCAATCCCAAGATGTCGACCGTATCTTGCGACAAGGTACCACGATTAGATTGCATAACACTTAAGCTACGTCGTTTCGTTGCCCTTATTCATTTGTCGCATCATTCCCACTCCAATAATGAACGATCAAGCTTATATGTTCCATTCATGCTTCCGATACACATTTTTTTTTTCTTATACTGTGTTATTGGTGTTTATGTGTTATTTTGGAAACAACTTAGTTGCTTTACACTATTAAAATGTGATATTGTGGTTGTAGGATGAAGTATGAACTGCTGTTACAATGGCCTCGTAATTGAACACTTCTATTATGCAATTTCTTGTAATCTGCTACTACTGATTTTGATGTTAGCTTCTGAGGTCATGTTTATTTACTTTGCAATTTTTTGGATATCAATTAATAGGGATGTTTCTGCCATTTGAATGTCACATAATTTTGTTTTATTTTGATTGAAAACCCAAAGTTATCATGGATAAATTTAGCAATGGGACACGAGTCTCTCATAATTTGAAAATCCTTCAATGGTTCAAACAACTACAACCATAAAGCATTTTGGACTATATGACGCCACTGGACTCAATTACAAACTAAATTATCAGAGATTTTATTAATTATGAGTTCCCTTTTGATAATTTCCTTCAAGATTCTTTTTGGTCTTCCTCTATGATTTCACTCAGGGCTAAAAGCCATAAAATCAACCCTCCTCATTAGTGCCTCTAGTGGTGCACTGAACCTTGAAGACAAAATGTTGGTCATATTAGTCCTATGCACTGGACTCATTATATGGCTGGCATTTGTGGTTCTTGACTAGAGTGGAATTTTTAATTGCATTTGTTAACTACGTTTTTCATTATGGCTTAAGGTGACTACAAGAAATAGATTTTAATTTTCTTTTCTATGTTTCTGGAATAGTTCTGTTCTCTATCTTCTTTTTTTGAGGTTGAGTGTCATTTGTTCCTCCCTTTCATTGTAGGATTTTCATTATCGTGCTTCTGTGTTTCAAGTGGATTTTAACTCCTGATGAGACATGGTTTGAAGGTGAAGTCTGTTAATTATGTGATGAAAATAGGTGGCTTGTGCCATGACTAATTTCTACATTTTTGTAATTCTTCATCCTTCACCTTGTTATTACCAACTTGACATCTAACCAAGGATAGGCTGAGAGCATTCAGAGTTGGGTTTAGTGTGATAATCTGAAAAAAAAAAAAAGAGAGGCTAAAACGGGGTCACTTTGTTGTGTGGCTTCAAGGCCACATGGATCAAATGCAGCCAATAGGGAGTGGTCCATGGGTCTTGATGAACCCTACTGGCAAAGTAATACAAGCTTTTCACCTCTTCCATCAAGATGGGATTTCCAATTTCAGTCTGAAGGGCATCCATACAGTTTGCAAGATGGTATTCAACTCTATGAATCTTCTACCTCATCAGATGGTAAAGACAGTAGGGGCTTGGTCAGTGGCAATTACCTCTATAATATGCCTTATTCTGCTTCAGATGGTCCTGGGATCTTCCTCAGTAATTCATCTGACTCTAAGAGTCCTCAGTGGATGCCTCCAGCAATACAGGAAATAAGTATTCCTGATTATGAAACTGCAACTAGGAAAGGTAATCTTGAATGTCTAAATTATTGTGTTGTGTGTGTCGTCTAATTTTCTCATTATTAGGATAATTTAATTAGTTGTTTTATCCTTTACATTATGCATCTGTATAGACATACTTCAAAATATTTTAGTGTTTTGTTTACTTCTTGTTTTATTATATAGGAAAAATGGACTTCCAAAATATTCATTATTGAGGTTGATGCCTTTAGTTGTTTCTACTTATGATTTGGATGCTCAGCTCTTCGGTCAATAACATTTGAGTGATGAGATTGGTTTTTCATCATCTGAAACTGAATCATTAGTCATGTTAAACAGTCATCTGCATTCAGATGCAGAAAAGTGGTAAATTTCTCTGAAAAGAAGGGAAAATAGAAGTAGACTTGAGTAATAGATTCTGGACATATAATTTAGATTTTATACTGCCAAATTGTAGGTTGCAAAGGACTTGAGCTACAGCATTTTGGATTCTGGTGGAACAAAAATAATTCAGTTTGAATATTAAACATGCTTCCACTGTTAAGATGAAAATCAGATCTGTCCAGTTGATGAAAAGTAAAATGCCCTATTATACTTTGAAGCTGTTGATGACAATCAAAATGACATGGAACGTAAAATATTTCAAGAGTTTTACCTAAAGGAAACAGTGGAAAGGGGGAGGGGGATTACAAAAAAGAAAAAAATATTTTTGGGTTCCTTTACTTGGCAAAACTGTCAAACTTGTGTTTGGATGCTTTAGTAACCAAAATAAAAATAAGGGACATCAGGAACTAGATATGACTTTGAATCTCTGCATCGAATATCGATGTTACCATAGACCAAAATAAGCAGCCAAATGTAGTGAAGACTTTCTTTCTAAAGTCAAGTGAGATATGTTGGATAGAGATAAGCAAAAACTGTCATAGATGCTTTGGAAGCTAAAAGAGGTCACTTAAAAACTTGATCATATAGCCCATGCCATTCTTATTTGTTGTTGTCATATGTATATGTCTGAAAATTAAATCAATATTCCAGTCCAGCAACATAAGCATTGATTATGGTTTGCATACAAGGTGCAGAAAATTTATTTATATCTGATGCCAACAGCATAGTTAATTAATCCTGTGCAGAAAATATGACTTGACAGAAAAATAAAGTCTGCTTGAAACTTCTAGTTAAAGAATGACCTTGTATAGAAATCACGGAATTCATTTTCCAGAATTTCAACAATTCCAGAATTTCAACAAAAAACTCCTAACCTTAGTTTATTGTATTTCCTTTTTGTAAATATTTTTAACAAATGTACCTTTTTAAGTCATGCTGTGCTAAATATTAATCATATAAGACATACAAAATGTTGTCAGTACTATCATGGGAATGAATCAGTAGCCACGTATTCATAGCATTATGTGCTTAGGGTGACTTTAGTGAATTCATTGTCAAGTAGAATGCATGTTTGCATGTGATGTGACCTTATTCTGGCTACTCATGAGAAGCATTGTTCATTATATCCCTTTGCTGTATGAGTGATAGATACCTAATAACATACCTTAATATTTTGTAGAATATCTTACCTTTTCAATACTTGAGGTGCTTCTAATTTTGTCCCTTTGGAAGAAGAAATTATTAATGTAAAATATGCTCTCAGCCCTCTTGTTGGATATGATTAAAACATTGTTGCTATAATTATGCTTATGATGCTAAGGTGAAAAGTAAAAACAACAAAAGAAAAGTCACTTTGCAAGTTATAGGGCATTCTTTGAACTGGTAGAGAGCTAAACTCATCTCTCTGTTAACAGTTTTCTATTGGGTGCCAAAAAGACAAGGTTATTAATGGCATATGGCGGGTCATGGCGAAAACTTAAAAAAATGCCAAAAATTGTGGCCGCCACCATAGCAGATTATGGTAGATATAATAAAATATTTAAAAAATATTATAAGTCATAAGAAATGACAGAAAAGAATTAACTCAAAACATAAGTAACATAACCCCCAATTCAAAGCATAATTCAATTCAAAATAAATAGTCATCAAATGTAAAGTTAACAAAATTAACATAAAAATTGTTAATCTAATCCTCTTTTTCAACTCCAACGTAGTCATCTTTCTCACCCACCAAGGCATATCCTTTCCCTTCTCTCTCAGATTCTTGAAAATTAATTTCCAATTCATCTTTTGTTTCTTCTGAGATGTCTTCATTTTCTAATTCTTCATCATCATCTTCAATCATCATTTTCTCTTCTCCTTTTGTTGTTGAACATGCCTTGATCCTGGAAACTTTTGGAGCTTTAATAGTAATACTACTTGATGGATTTGTTTTTTAGAATAACTTCTGGTATATGTTCTAGACACTAATTCTAGAAACTTCATGAACAGTTGCCCAATTTCAAGTGTTATCATCATAAAAAACTAAGTCATTTTTAGCATCCTCATCAAGAGTGTCATCATTCATCTTTTCAACCAACCACTCATTACACTTATCAATGTCATTGAGTGTAATTGGATCAATTACATATTTAAGATTGTAACGTTCTTTGAGTTGGTTATAGTTTCATAAATCAAGTCATGAAATTTTGTGATCCAATCTATTCCTCTTTTTTGAATGAATTTGCAACGTAAGTGAAATTAAAAAAGTATTGATTAGTTTCTTTCTAATTTCTAAAAGAAAGTACTAAGTTTGAGAGATAAGAAATTACTTGTTTAAAAATACTTTAGTTGCATTCACATCCAGATGTGCTACATATTAAGCTCAAAATTTTGATAGCTAATTGTTGCAAATGTGGAACTGAATGTCCATACATTCTTTACCATTAAACTATAAATCAAAGATAAATTATAAAATTAAAGGTCTTAATTATAAATTAACTTGAAATTAAAAAGTTGAAGTTTTTTATTAATTACTAGGAGTAATGCTTTTTCTTTGCGTTTTTATAAAGTAGGACACGAAGACCACCACCAATCGTATAAATTGGTAGGTTAAGTAGTATACTTTGTTGCACATTTTAATTTGTACCAACCTCTTGATACAATCATACAATTCATCTATAACCTCTAAATCAAATTCTATTTGAGAGTTGTCATGAAAGAATTTTGGGTTTAAAATGTGACCAGCTGCATGCAATAGACAATGAAGTTGACAAGTCTATCTATTATCAATGACTACAAACGCATCTTTATATTTGTTTTCATTATTTTTAAATGACTTTATAATAGTTTCTTTAACTTTCTCTATTGCTTCATAAATATATCTCATGACTAACCTTTCACCATCAACTAAACATATTATCCATATAAGAGGAGCCATGATTTTTAAAGTGTCAATCACATTATTCCAAAATATAGGATTTAATATAACTTTTGTTGCTTGCTTTCCTTCAGGTTCCTTTGATAGCTTGATTTTGCATCACTCCTCAAAAGTAAATATTTTTCTAAGATTTGCTTTTTTTTTATGAAGTTTTTCTAATGATAGAAAGGAAGTTTCAAATCTAGTAGTCATGTGTCTCACAAATTCCCTTATTTGTAAAATTTTTCAACAAACTCAAGGTAATATAATGACGGTAGATAAAGTCAACCACAAATATTCCCCTTTGAATTGTCTTCTTTATTAAGGAAAGTTTTTCAATATCTTCAAATATAAGTTTATGGAATGAGCTGCACAAGGAGTTATAAAGATGTGGTCTTTTTTCTTCTAACATCTTACCAAAACATAATTGCTTCCATTATTCGTTATAACTTATACAACTTTATCCTCTTCAATTTCTTCCACAAGAGCACCAAGCATCTCAAATAGTTTTTTGTTAGTCTCAACAAAATTAGATCCATTAATGGACCTCACAAACATAGTCCCAACAGGAGATTTGATCAAGAAATTAATCAAACATCTTTGTTTTCAATCGGTCCATGCATCTGACATGCTGGAACAATTATATTTGCTCCATTGCACCTTATAATCTTTCATAAGAGAGTTGATATATTCTATTTTTAAGAAGTGGAACTCTAATATCATGATAACTCGAAGCTGACAAATTTGGACCAAAGGCACAAACAGTTGTAAGCATTTATTCAAAGCTCTTCATTTTAACAAGGTTAAAGGAAAGGCCAACTTGATACCAAAATTGAGCTATATATTGATGGACCCTTATCTTGACTTCCTTGTCACATACTTCTCTTATATTTGCTTGTCTTAATTTTAACTTCTTTTTTTTCTCAATGACACTTTTTGGTTTCTTACAAAACAAGTTCATTGACCTTTTTTTATTCCCCATAGCACTACTATGTGTCTGGTTATTCTCCTCATCCTCACTTTCATCATAGCTTATATCTTCAAAGCTCCTCACATATGGCGTCTTAAAGTTGTCTTGACTCTTTCTATCCTCATATGCCTCAAACTCTTTTTTAACTTCTTCTAGACATTTGGGGCAACCTTTCACATTACGCTTTTTTTCAATCAAATGTCATTTCACTCTAATGATTCTTAGCACTCATGATTTTTCTACAAAAATTGCATTCAATATTATTTGTATCTCCCTCTTTCAACGAATGAGCATATCCATCCGGGTTAGAATGATTAGAAGTTCTTAAAAAATTTGATGAAGACTCTTGTTGAGTCATGTTAAGAAAACTTAAATAAAGAGAAATTATTTGAGGAAAAATAGGATGAGGGAGAGGGAAAAACTTAAATGAGGCAAATAAGGAAAAACTGAAAGAGGGAGAGGGAAAAACAAAAAAAAAAGGCTACCATAGAAAATGGAGGAGCAGTCCCTGGAAAAACAGGGGTTGAAGTGGAGCAGTTGTCGCAAGAGTTGCAGCAGCAACAATCACCAGAAAACAGGGGTTAAAGAAAACTCAAAACTCCAACAAGAACAAAGAGTAGAAGATAGAAGGTGAATCACAAATCAAGAACACAAATTGAAGAATAGAGAAATGAGACAAAGAAGAGAGACAACGGTTATTTTTTGGGTTAGGCTCATTGGTCCTTTCTTTGGACCGGGTCAAGTCCACTGCTCAACCCATTTTTTCTGCAAAAACCCCCATGATCACTATTACCGCCATGTGCGTAATGGCCACCATGGTGCCGCCACCAGAAAACACCATAAAACTCCATGCCTAAGCATGAAAACCACCACCAATTTGGCTGCGATAACAGTTATTTGATAACATTGCAAAAAGATTAAGCCCATACATAGAGAAATCTGGAATAGTCCAGAATTGAGTCACAATATATCCAGTTCTGCCTCCAAATGCCCGAACATTTTTTTTTTATTTGAGATTCATTAAACAATTGAAGACATTCCTTTCCCTGTGTATGGTATATGAGTTTGGTGGCTTCTTCTCAAAATGTCACGCCTGTTTATTGGTCCAAACTAGTAATGGTTCGTAAAATGGATTGGCCAAGTAAATGAAGCTGCAGTTTATCATGCATTAGCTAAACTTTTTAATGTTTCTTGTTGCATTTGATTAACTGAATTTCTTCCTTCTTATTTGTACTCAATAATAGATCCTTCTTTGAGCCAGATATTCTTTACACCAAACAAGGAGGTAATAGTTTTAATTAAGGATTTCAATTATTAAAAAAAGTGTTTGCATTGCAGTTGATTTGTGTCTGTCTTGAAATAGGTTAATAAGTCGAGATGTGTGCAGGTTACTTCTGAAAATCTGGATAGTGGAGACTCTGCATCATCCCAGTCAGATAGCAGTGAGTCTGAATCTGCTACAAAATCAAGTTTATCCTCACGAAAGAATTTCTCTAAGCACTGTTCTTTCATCACCAAACATGTTCTTCCTTTGTCATTTCCAAACCTTACAACTAATATGGTAGCCTTTGAACCTGCCGATGCAGGTTTCTCAGAGTTTGATGCTTCCAATCCTCTCAGAGATGCCCAGCATTGGAGTAGTGCTAGCAGTAGTCTGGATTCTGCAGATGTTTGTGAGTTATTTGAATCTGAAACTTCTGGTTGCCCACGTATTCCTTCAGATGGACCTAGGTGCAGTTTGTGTGAAAGATTTTTATCCCATAGATCACCTTGGAGTTCCCGTCGAATTGTGAGAAGTAGAGACATGCCTACAACTGGGGTTCTTCCCTGTTGTCACACTTTTCATGCTGAGTGTTTGGAGCGAGCAACTCCGAAGACACATAAAAATTATCCTCCTTGCCCTCTCTGTATAAGATTGGAGGGGGAAAATTCCTTTGATCAACAAGATCTTTCAAGACTGAGAAATGATTTTCCAAGGCTTCGACCATTTTGTGAGGATGGAGATGGACGCTCTAGATCTTGGGCCTCTGCGCAGGCGGGTGGTTGTGTTGTAGGGGCTTTGCATGCACCACCATGCAATGCTATGTTCTTGCACAATCGGAATCGAAGTAGAAAGAATCTTTCTTTGAAGGATAATTTAAGTAAGGAAAGTCATTGTAAGGTAAGGAAAAGTGGACCATTTTCCTTACAGCTGTTTGGTGGAAGCTCAGCTGAACAGGAAGCAGTTGGTTGCTCTAAGGTACCTCCAGGCCCAAGTTTGAAGAGGTTATGGGAAGATTCTAGACCTGTAAACGTGGATGGAAAGTTGTAATTTAAATGATATCCATTTTTCCTTGAAGTTCAGAAGATTCGAGTGAAATTTTATTGTAGGGGTTCGTAATCAGCTGTTGTATAGATTGACATGTTGTACTTCTATTGAAATTTGAAAGTCATGATTGGAATTGAATCTTCTGGTTCACTGTTTATGGTTAATACTTTATCGATGGTTGATAATAAACTGTGATGACATGGCAATAGAGAGAAGCAACTTTATGACACCGATCATATGAAGCAACGTTTCTTGTATAAAAGTGAGGCCACTAAAAGAGGGAAATAAGCAGCATACTTATGTTGCTCTTATTCAAGTAATCCTTGTGTACTATATGAAGGGTGAGAGGTTAGCAACATTTATTGGTGGCTGTATAATGAATGGATAAGCTTTTTGATCCCTCGAGTATTTTGTTTGATATTTTCTGAGTTAATTTTTGGAAAGGAAGTGAAGGACAAGACTTATATAATAATTATGCTTATTTAAAACTTTTTAGATGAGAGAGATAATTTATAAACTTTACAAAATTCTCTTAAACTCATTGTTGTGTTTCTCTAATTTAAAATATTTTTTTATTAACTTTCCTTCTTTTTTTTCCTTTTATTCTTTACTCTATAAATTCTTACCTTCAATTTTTGTTCGGTATTCAAAATCTTGGGCTCTTGATTTTGACTTTGACTTTTGGTGATAAAGATATCAATTTTGTTATTGAGAGCTTGAGGCATATGTACTGAAACCTTAACGTTTAAAAATGATAAAGTTCGTGCATTGAGATATGTGCTTGCTAACGATTTTTCGTTTTGGTCAATAAACGATTTTGTTTTTAAAGAAACGAAGAGGTTATACGTGGTCGTACTCTTGTAGGAGTCCCCCACATGCCTATAGCGTAGATTCGTGGATAAGTCCCTACTTGTATATCAACCCTTTATTTCAAATTAAGTGGGGCCCATTTTCAACCCTGCATAATACTTACCAAAGGACAATACAATATAGTTTCCGAGTTTGAAAAAAAATATTTCAATTATTTTCTCTGTACACAATTTAATGTTTATTTTATTAAATCATTTTATTTATTATGCCACAACTATTTTTATATCCTTTTATCACAATGCAATAACATGTTTTTACGAGGGATTCTCATTAACGAGGCACTAATTTAGAAACATTAAATGCATTTTCCTAAACGCTTACAATTACTTTTAGAAACGTGTTAAAATTATTTCTTTTAGGATATATTAAATATTTTCTTTTTTGATAAAATTTCTCATTCTTATGCTCTTAACAAAATGATGGGATATTAATTGACATTAATTTTTTAAGAAAGATATATTGTTTGTAAGACAATATTAAAAATCTTGTATTAATGAAAAAATAAATTTAAATCATATTAAGTTTTCGTTGGTTAGTGTATAATGGAAGAGGTCCATCAAAATGGTGGACCTGGTTTTTAGGATGGGGGTATATAGAGTTGGCACTGTTATGGCACATCTTGGATAATGCTTAACTCAATACTCAGGTTTGGGTTCTCAATCTGGGGGCCTTAAATCTAGTTGAAAAGAGACTTGTGTTCTTTATGTTGATTTCTTTTTGGTAAAAAGAAAGAACCTAAATCACTATGGAATAGGAGTTAAAATAACAGAAAATTTTAAAATGATAATACAAAATAAATTTTGTGTTGAAGTTATTATTAAATATTTTAAGCATTATTATTATTGTTGTTGTTGTTATATTTTAATACATCTCAAGCTTTTGCTTGCTATAGAAACTACTAGAAATAGTTGACGTTGCTTGGTAGTTTTTTACTACACCTTTGGGCAAGGTAGGAGCTAGTATATGAAACAGATAAAATAATGCCTAGCTTATCTCAGTTAGGTCGGTTTGGATATAGAACTTAGATTTGAGTTATATTTATTATTTCCTTAAATTTCTAGAAAAACTAAGATAATTTCTTTAGGTAAAGTTAAAATTTGAAAGAGGGAAATACTTGAGCTCGTTATTTCAATTTTTATGTTAAAACTGGACTGAGCCACAGAAAAATAAAAAGTTCATGATTGGAATTAACTCATCCATAAGTGTCTTATCAGAAGTCCAATGTGGTGCATCTATCTCCGCAAAGGAACGAGCTTAGCCCCATTGAACGTGGGGGGCCTCAGTTGTATATTGTAAGGTTTTGTCAATTCTAACTCCCAAATAAAAAGAGAAACCCAAATTGGAAAAGAAAAACACAAAACGTGTTTTCTATATCAGTTTTTGTAGTAGGATCCATTTGTGTGATGTGTGGTATGAAGGCATTCAGCACCACAACTTCGATAGGACCCCGTAGCCTAATTTCTCATACCATTAATTTTATTTCATGAGTGAAAAAGCGTTCAATTTTCAATGCCAACTACAATGGACCATTCTTCTAGCCTTTTCACGTGCTCTGGTCAAATTGCTACGACATTTGCACATTGTGTACACAAACTTGATGCACAAGAAGGAACCTTGAATTGCCTAGTGTTTTTAGCTACTTCCATTCATGACCACACATTGCTATTAATATTTGTGATGGTTTAACATTCCCACTAGCCATGTTCTAGTCACTGTCATTTTCCTTCAATTTGCCTCAACTACCCAAAAGATGAAAATATTGAGACACAGACAATCCTCCTGTTGAGCTCAAATGCGGAATAACTTGGACGTGTAAATTAAAATTCTGACGTAAACTGGCGAGCAATAATTCAGACCTAATAAATAGATCTAGCAGCGCAGCGGTGTAACTTGTAAAGTGTGCACTGAAATACTTCCCAGGAAAGAGAGGTGGATCACAACGGATCACTTAAATACCAGGTCTTTCCTTAGCCAGAATCTTTCCAGTTACAACACTAATACAAATACACACTTCTCCAGCAATCCAACAATCAGCCACGGAAGGATAACAAAAATAATTCTTTTCTGATGTGGAAGATCAGACTAAACTGCAACCACAGAGCATACTAAGAATTATTTTTAACTGAATAAAATAAGCAGATAAAGAACACCACTATTTAACGTGGAAAAACCTCCAATGTGGAGGAAAAACCACGGGACAAACTCCGAAAAATATTCCACTATATCTCAGGATATTTACAATATCCTTTCAACACTCTATCACACAAGAGGTGTAAAATATAGTGTACACAGTGAGACCCACTCCTATTCAAATATTACAAATTTTGTAATACCAAGAAGAAATAGAGATGATACCCACCCCAGTGTATTTTTCTCACACTCTTAGGATTTACTCAACACTCTATTTTTTTTTCTCTCACAAACACTCACAATGCTTGATGAAATCTTGTGTGTGTCGCTGCTTGTGCTTCCTTCAATTTCATTTCACGGCTATTTATAGCCAAATAAAGTTACTATTCATTTAATAAAATATTATTAATTGTTTATGAAGTCAAAAAAGGGGGCACCGAAATTGAAAATGTGCTGGACCTCACAATTCTCCCCCTCCAGCACAAAGGTGCACTCTTGGAATCTTCACATGCGATCTATGCCAATCAGTTTGGCACACTGTTGATGTTTTTCTCGTGCAACAACTTTCGTCATCATATCAGCAGGATTTTTATCCGTATGAATCTTATCTAGCTTGAATTCTTGTTCTTCCACTGCCTGACGCAGCCAATGATATCTGATATCAATGTGCTTCGTACGAGAGTGATACATCGCATTCTTACTTAAATCTAATGCGCTTTGGCTATCACAATGGATAACGTACCTTTTCTGCTCAATTCCCAGTTGTTGAAGAAACCTCTTCAACCAAAGAATTTCCTTTCCTGCTTCAGTCATGGCAACATACTCAGCTTCAGTAGTTGACAAGGCCACACATTTCTGCAATTTGGATTGCCAAGATATAGCTCCCCCTGCAAAGGTAAACACAAGTCCTGAAGTAGATTTTCTACTATCCAGGTCACCTGCCATATCTGCATCTGTGTATCCTTCAAGAACTGGGTTAGGTATTCCAAAGCTCAAGCACATATTAGAACTACCTTTCAGATATCTCAAGATCCACTTCACTGCTTCCCAATGCTCTTTTCCAGGATTGGAAAGATACCTGCTAACAACTCCGACCGCATGAGCTATATCCGGCCTCGTACAAACCATGGCATACATCAAACTCCCGACTGCTGAGGAGTATGGAATACCCGCCATAGCTTCTTTTTCTTCTTGACTTGTGGGACAACTTCTTTTGCTGAGTTTGAAGTGATTTGCCAACGGTGTACTAACTGGTTTAGCCGTCTTCATGTTGAATCTGTCCAGAATCCGATTCACATACCGTTCCTGCGATAACCACAACCTTCTGGATTTTCGGTCTCGCATGATCTGCATGCCCAAAATTTGTTTTGCAGGGCCCAGATCTTTCATATCAAAAAACTTTGACAATTCTTTCTTCAAATCACCAATCAGCTTCACATCCTGTCCCACTATCAACATATCATCTACATACAACAGAAGGATAATGAATTTATCACCTGGACATGTCTTGACAAATACACAATGATCTGCATCAGTCTTGGCATATCCATGACTCGTCATGAACGAGTCAAATTTCTTATACCACTGTCTTGGAGCCTGTTTCAATCCATACAAGCTCTTCTTCAATCTGCAAACCATGTGTTTCTTTCCAGTTTCCTCAAAACCTTCTGGTTGCTCCATGTAGATTTCTTCATCAAGGTCTCCATGAAGAAACGCAGTCTTCACATCTAGTTGTTCAAGCTCCAGATCCAAGCTAGCCACCAATCCGAGTATAACTCGAATAGAGCTCATCTTCACAACTGGAGAGAAAATTTCATCAAAATCTATTCCTCGCTTTTGTCCAAAACCTTTTACAACTAAGCGAGCCTTGTACTTCAACAGCTTGTCACCATCTTTCTTAAGCTTGAACACCCACTTATTTTTCAAGGCTTTTCTGCCTTTAGGGAGCTTGACCAACTCATAAGTATCATTCTTCACCAGAGAATCCATTTCTTCTTGCATGGCTTTCATCCACTGGGATTTATCCTTATGAGTCTGAACTTCTTCAAAGTTTTCTGGCTCCCCCTCTTCAGTGATGGTAATATACGTCGAACTAGGGTACTTTGTAGATGGCTGGTGTGGTCTTCTTGATTTCCGAGGCTGAGGTGGAGCTTCTGGGTTTTCTTGCTCAACACCTTCATCATCACCATCTTCTATTGCTGGCTCATTATCAACCCTAAGTTCTTCATCACACTCTCCCCCTATTGTGGCATTTTTAGGAGGAACAACTGGTGTAAGATCAACCTTACCACCTGGTTCTCTGATTTTTGGTGAAGCAGAATCCGACATAGTTTCTTGCTCATGGAACACTACATCTCTGCTTCTAATAACTTTCCTATTTTCTGGATCCCATAACCTGTAGCCAAATTCCTCATCTCCATAGCCCAGAAATATGCAAGGAATGGCTCTATCATCAAGTTTTTGTC